TGAGCAGAAAAACGGCTGTTTTCTTTGCAAAAACAAACATATGGGTTTTCTTGCACAGAAAAATCCTAGACTATGAAGCCTCGTGTGGGGAAAAATTCTCTCCGGGGTTTCTCAATGCTCAGAATACCTTCCTTTCATTCATTAATTGAATATTTTCAAATATGTGAAGCCGAAGGCTTTCACGGCCGGCATCCATATTTTTTGGTGGGTTTTTCGGAATATGCGGCTGTGTTCTGGAAAATGCCAGCCACAGATGCAGGTGACACATCAGGAATAAATTCTTCCATAATGCGGCAACATAGCCTGGAAAACCCACAAAAAACTATTTTCAAATATTCTTCTAAGCCCTACGGTGTGGTTCAGTCCCTCCCTGGAGATGAGGTGTCCCCAAATATCTTTCACCTTGCCATCTCAAAACTAAGACAAACCTATAACGGGGTTTTCTTGGCAAGATTTCTTCAGAGGGGCTTTGCCTTTGCCCTTCTCTGAGGCTGAGAGAGTGTGACTTGCCCCAGGTCACCCAGTGGTGTTTGAAGGCTGAGCAAGGATTTGAACCTTGGTCTCCAGGGTCATAGTTCAATGCTCAAACCACTACGCCATGCTGGCAATCCTTTTTCAATGTACATCCTGCACTCTGCATCTCTTTCTTATATTAAGATATTTATATCTTAAGTGAGTCCTGCTGGTCCTGCGGTGACAAGGTTATGAATTCGATCTCAGGGCTCCAAGGTTGACTCAGTCTTCCATCCTTTTGTAGTTTGCTAAAATGAGTCCCCAGCATTGTAAACTGCTTGGAGAGTGCTGAGTTCACTATTAAACAGTATAGAAATGTAAATGCTATTGCTATCGCTATATCCCATTCTACATCTTATGATCTTAGGACAGCATACAATGAAGCCGGTTTCACCAATTCAGAAGTATTTTTAAAGAAAGCATATTAGGCAAGTTTCCAAGTTAAAACAAGACACTTAATATCTGTTAAAACAGTTTAAAAAGCCCTATGTGGAATAATTTGTTGCAGTCAGTTTTCAAAGGCTTTAAGAAAAAGCCATGTTTTTAACCTGGTGCCTCTGCATCCACACTTCAGAATTAATGCAGTTTGGCACTGCTTTAGCTGTCACAACGCAATGCTATGGAATCCGGGGATCTGTAGTTTGTTGTGGCACCAGAAGAGGTGAAATATCTCAAAAAACTACAGATCCCAGAATGTCATAGCGTGCAGCCATTGCAGTTAAAG